GAATCTTTTTTTTTTCAATATTCCAAAAAAAAAAAATAAAAATATTTAATTAAAAAAATATAATAAGGTTTAATTTAAAAAAAAAAAAAACTCATTATCTTTGAAATCATTTATTTATTAAAAATCATTATCTCTCTTTTATTTTTTTTTAATTTTTCAATTTATTTATTAATTTTTTTTATTTTTTTTTATTTTTTTTCAATTTTTTTTAATTTTTTTTTTTCATTTTAAATTTTTTTTTTTTTTTTCGTGTTTTTATTTTTTTTTAAATAACCAATAAATACATAAATATTTATATTATTTACATTAATTAAAAATGCCAAAAGCAATCACTAAAAAATCAAGCAAAAGTAAAAAATCAACACAAACAGAAACCGCAAAACCAACTGTTGGATTTTTTGGTAGACTCAGAGCAAATAAAACTTTAGGAAATGTTATTGTAACTTCAGCAAATATTATCACCTTTTCATTTAAAAAAATATTAAATATTACTTGGGTCAGCTTAACATTCTCAGCAATTTTTTTAACCCCACTTTACAGAGCAATTGAAACTGAACTTACAACCGATAAAGATGACCAAAGTGAAACTTTAGAAGAAATGATTGAATAAATCATTCATTAAAACCAATTCAATATAATATAAATAAATAAATAAATAAACAACCCATACACAACCACAACAAACCACTACAAACCACTACAAACATAACAACCACCACAACAAACCAAACAGCAATATTTCAACTTTAACAAACATCAATATTAAATATAATATAATAAAACAACCCTAATAAAATAAATCCGGATTTTCTAAACTGAATATAAAACCTCAAGTTTCAACCCTTTAATAAGAACAATGTTTAATATTTAGATACTTCTCCCAAAAATTATAAAATAATTATAATCAATTGTTTTAAATCAACAAATTGCTTGTAAATATATAAAAAAAAAAAAATAAAAAATAAAAAAAACAAATAAAATATTAAAAAAAATATTAAAAAATAATGGTTTGTTGAACAACCATTATTTAATTTAGTTTAATTTAATTTAATTTATCCATTAATCATTTTTAATATATTCATCATTATTTAATTTATTCATTAATCATTATTAATATTTTATTTTTAAAATAAAGAAAAATAAAATTTAAAAAAAAATAAATTAAAATTAAAAAAAAAAAAAAAACGAAACGAACTTTTTTAAAATTTTTTTTTTTTTTTTTTTTTTTTTTTTAAACACACAAATAATAAAAAGGATGGGTAGATATAGAGGACACGGGGGTACACATACCAAAAATAAACAATATAAAAGAGCTAGATCAACAAAAAATAGAGCAAAAGGTACAGGTTTTAATATGGATACATAAATAAATAAAGAAATTAATAATCTAATAAATATTTCTTTTTAATATTTGTTATTTTTAGATATCGATCAAATTTATAATGAAATACAACCAGAAAACCAAGAAAAGTTTACAAAATTTGAAGCAGATCCAGATTTACCAGGTATGGGTCAATCATATTGTATGCATTGTTCAAAACATTTTATAACAAACGAAGATTTAGAAAAACACTTTAGAGGAAAACCACACAAAAATAGAGTCAAGGAATTAAAAACAAAACCATATACCGTTGAAGATAGTAAAATCCCAGTTGATAATGGAAAGAAATTAAATAGAGATGAAAATGGTGTACCAACTTATGATAGTGGTGTTGCAACTGCTGTTGAAACAGATTAACCAAATAGAAAAAAAAAAAAAAGAAAAGAAAAAGAAAAAAAAAAAGAAAAAAAAAACATTTTAAAAAAACATATAAAACTAAAAAAAATTAAAAAAATACTAAATAAATAATACCTCTTGTATATATATTTTAAAACCTTTTTTTAAGCAAAAAAAACCAAACAAACAATCTAAAGTATATTTTTTTTAATTTTTTTTATTTTTTATTTATTTTGTAGTTTTTATAATAATATTTGATTTAAATATTTTAAAATTCCCAATCTTCCATTAAATCATTATCGTTTATAAGTTTTGATTTTTGTTGGTATGCTAATGGTACTGAGCTATATTTCTTTTTATAAGAGTTTTCATATAAGATATGATAAGTTACATTTGAAAATTCGTTCATATCGACGACATTCTTGAGACCACCGTCAAATAAACGGGCCATTTTTGAGACTTCTGGGGAATAGTGATCACGAAGAATTTGAATTTCCCAAAGTGAACTTTTGATAGCATTACATTTACTTGGATCTGATTCTAATGGATCATATGGATCATTACCATAAACTCCTTTGATTGATTCGATTGGTAAAGTTGGTTGTTCTTCCTTAATTAAAAGTACTGATCTTGTTTGTGATTGTTGTTTTTGAATATTGAATTGTGATGATAATTGTTTGATTGGGTTATTAATTAAACAATGACAATTTGGGTTTCTTTGGAGTAAATTATAAATCATTGGTAATAAAATTAATGATGCATGTGGTGGTGAAATTAAACATAAAGTGGCACATCTCTTAATAAATGCTGCAATTAAATAAATTGGTAATAATTTTGATGTTAAAAATAAATCTGCTAATTTGAAAAATCTAGCTCTATATTTTGCATATAAAACACCTGGTTGGAATAATGAATATAATTTATTAAAAAACTCTGGGTAATCTCTGTGGTATAGTAATAATAAAAATGATAGTTAATAATCTAATGTATGATAATTTTAATGCTAATTATATACTTACAAGTTATATTGTGTAATTAAAATAAATAAACCATTTAATGATAAAATACTTGTAACACCACCTAAATCGTATGAATTTGTAAAGAAATCTAAAAGTACTTTTGGATCAGTTAAAAATGGGAAAACACGATCTGGGAGACCTAATAAAACATGTTTATAAATAGTTGGTGGAAGAGGAAGGGTAAGGAATGAGATCCAAGTCTTACTGAAAATATTTCTATATGATGAAACTTTGGTTAATTTATTCCAATATTCGTTATTTTTTTCAAAGTCTTTATCGTTCATTGATTTTGGTTTAACTAATTCGCCACTTTTCTTTAATTTTAATTGTTTCTTTTTTAATGTTGCAGAACATTCTTGAACAGCATTGAAATTTGGTGAACCAATAAAAAATGACCATTCTTCTGGAGCTTCAATAAAAGGTTCAAAATAACAAAGGAAATCGAAAATATTCTCTACAAATTTACCAACAGTTACATTATTTGATTTTTCAAACTCTGCTTCTTTTTTGCAATCGTTGACATGTGACTGAGCAATTTCATTTATTGACCAAAGTGAATAATAAAATAAATCTTGATACTTTCCACAAAAGTTTTCAGTTAAATGATCAACTAATTTGGTATTGAAGTTATTTGATAACATTAAGTGTAAAATCAATGATCTAAATGATAATCTTGAAATATTTTCATAGTGTGCTTTTTTATTATCTTCATCACCATTATCTTGGTCTTCTTTTGCGATTAATTCTTCAGGTATATTTGATAATAAAACTGATTCTCTTTTGATAATATTGAAATATGTTGTTAATGCTGGTAATTGAATGGATGGATCTTCATGATTTAAAAGTTCTTTTAAGAAATCAATAAAGTTATTATAGATCTTAAATAACCAATGAGTAAAAATTACTAATGGATCTTTTGATTGAGTTGCAGTGCTTTTCTTTTGTTGTTGTTGGTTTAATTTTAATAGTTTAAATTCTTTGCAAATTATTAAATTATTTGAATCAAATAAATGTAAAAAGATCTTTTCTAATGATTTAATAGATTGAAAAACAATTTCTAATTCTTCAATATTCTAAAATTATAAAATAAATAATGTTAATAAATTGATATCATTATGTAAACGAGTAGATGAATGATATTACAGATTTACAAATTTTAATGATTTCTAAAATTTTATTTGAATTTTCGGTACTTTCAATAACCTTTTCCTCAATATCTTTAATTATTTCGATTGGGGTTAATTGGGGTGCAACTTTCTTTTCAACTTTTTTGGTTGATTCATTGTCGAATGCACGATTTTTATTGAATTTGCTGACTATATTTTTCTTTTTGGTTGGTGTAACACTTGTTTTGGTTTTTGAAACTTTAGCTTCTACCATTCTTTTATTATTCTTTATTTTTTATTGAATGAAAAATAATAATTTAATACAAATATTTCTTTTTTATAAAAAACCGAATCGTCTAAAAAAAAAAAAAAAAAAAAAAAAAAAATTTAAAAAAAATTTTTTAAAAAAAAATAAAAATAAAATAAAATAAAATTTAAAAAAAAATTTTACTAAAAAAATAAATAAAATATTGTTGTAATATTATAATTTGATTATTCACTAATTATATTTAAACTTAGGATGAATTAATTTAGATTTTAAAAAGAACAAGTATTAAATTAAATTAATTTTTTTATTTTTTTTTTTTTTATTTTTTTTTTTTAAATTTTTTATTTTTTATTTTTTATTTTTTTTAAAATTTTTTAAATTTTTATTTTTTTTTTTTCACTTTCCAATATATATATTAAAATTTTTTTTTGTAAATAGCTCTTTTTTTTATTTATTCTTTTAATAAAAACAATATAATCAATATAACCAGTATTATCACAATATAAACAGTAGTACCATTGTAAATTAATAACTTGACGAACCAATAAATATATCAACAACCACCAATAAATAAATAAATAAATAAATATATAAAATAATAATGTATAGTAATAACAATAGTAATAATTTATCAATATATTCTTCGCCTATAATAAGTATTGCATCGCAGTCATTCAACTCTATACCAGAATGGAAAAGGGATATAATAAGGCAATTAAATTATAGAAATCAAAATCAAACCAATTGCTATTCAGATATTATGAAAATATATTCAGATTTATTAAAGAGAGAAAGAACATTAAATGACAGAACTTTGCTATACGAAAAAGAGATAGTTTCATTAAGAAAGGATGCTAATAGAGGTGGTGGAAGTGGCGGTGGGAGTGGTAGTAGTAGTGGAACTAGCTCGACATCATCAAATAAAGGTTCAATTGAAGAAATGGAGCAAAAACTTTATAAACTACAAGAGGATTTAACAAACAGTTACAAAAGAAATGCAGAAAATGCTACAAGTATTTTAAATTTAAATGACAAAAATAAAGATCTTCAAAATGAAATAATGTCAAAAGAAATTGAAGTGGATAGAGCTAAACAAGTTTTACAGCAAAATGATGATGCCATTAAAAGATTAGAAATGACCATTATAGAAAAAGAAAATGTTTCACAAATTTTAAGAGATGAATTAACATCATTACAGGTAATTATTTAAAATATAAAATACATAAAAAAAACTTATTAAATTATATTAATATTTTTATTTTATAGACCGAATATTTACATAATGAAAGCAAAGTTGTAAAATTAGAACAAGAGAATAGTAGTTTAGTTGAAAGATGGTTAAGAAAGAAAAATGAAGAGGCAAGTAAAATGAATGAAGCAAACGATTTTTATCAAAAGATGGTAGAACAGAGAGATCTATCATTTGTATCTCCAGCAAAAAAATCACAAGTACCAGATAGTTATGCAAATGTTGTTGTAGATATATCATCAGAAGAGGCAGAGAAATCCAAAATACCAAATATTGAAAAAGGTGTTTTCACTAAAGAAGCCCTATTACCAAGCAAAGCAAAGAGAAGATGGACTGCCCACAATTCAGAAATTTATTGTATTGCATTCAATACAATGGGTAATTTAATGGCAAGTGGTGGCGGTGATAAAGCTGTTAAAGTTTGGGACATTATATCTGGTCAAACCAAAGCCACACTTTTAGGTGCATCACAATCTATAATGTCTGTAGAGTTTTCGCCAAATGACGAAACTGTATTGGGTACAAGTAATGATAATAGTGCACGCCTATGGAGCACTGAACTGGGTAGATCGCGTCATACTCTTACTGGTCATATTGGTAAAGTTTACACTGGTAAATTCTTTAACCCAAATCGTGTTGTAACTGGAAGTCACGATCGTACCATTAAATTGTGGGATCTTCAAAAAGGCTATTGTACCCGTACAATCTTTTGCTTTTCTAGTTGTAATGATTTAGCAATTTTAGGTGGAACTGGAAATCATTTGGTTAGTGGTCATGTCGACCATAGCGTCCGTTTTTGGGATTCAAATATTGGCGAACCAACTCACGTACTCTCATCAATTCACGAAGGTCAAATCACATCAATTACAAACTCACCAGTTAATTCTCATCATATTTTAACAAACTCTCGTGACCATACTTTGAAAATTATCGACACTCGTACCTTTGAAACCATCAGAACCTTCAAGGATCAAGAATATCGTAATGGCCTTAATTGGACCAAAGCTGCTTGGTCACCTGATGGTGCATATATCGCATCTGGTTCAATTGATGGCTCAATTTGTATCTGGGATGCTAATAATGGTAAAACCATTAAAGTTTTAACCAAAGTACATAACAATGGTTCCTCTGTATGTTGTTGTGCATGGTCACCATTAGCAAATATATTTATTTCTGCTGATAAAGATAAAAATATAATTCAATGGGATTAAATAATATAAAATTTAATTAAATATAAAATACTATTATAAATAATAATAATATTACTATAATAACTATTAAATAAACAAAATAATTAAAAAAAATATAATTTTTAATAAAATTTATTAATAAAATATTTTTAAAAACCAAACAACCTTTGATATATTTATTTATTTCTTTTAAAAAAAAAATTGATGATGTGTGTGTTTTTTTGTTTTAAGACTACTGGTTGAATAATTATAAATTTTAAAACAAGGGTTATTAGTTATTAAAAATATAAGAAATTAACACCTGGTTTAAATCAAATTTTCGATAAATTAAAATAAAAAAAAACAAAAAAACAATTTATTTATTTTAAATTTTTTTAGTTTTTTTTTTTATTAAATTTTTCATTGTAATGATCCAAATTTTTTTATTTTTTTTTATAGTTTAATTCAATCACAAATAATTTATTCATAATAATAGTATTAATTGTAATATTTGTTGCAAAAAATATTTGTTTTTTTATCAACGTCACTATTGGGGCTTTCCTTATTAATCAAGATTTAGGTTGGTTGTCTATTTTTTTTTTTTTTTTAATTAATTTTTTTTTATTTTTTATTTTTTTATTTTTAATTTATTTTTTATTTTTTAATTTTTTTTCTTTATATTTTTGAGAGTAAAAATAATATTTCAAAGACACACACAAACACACATTCCCCACATTCACACACACAAAATTTATTTATTTTTAAATTTTTATATATATTATTGCAAAAATAAGAAAACAATCCTATTACCATAAAAATAAAACACACACCCATTTCACTATATCTATCTTTTTAAAACTCACACACAATACGAACAATTGTTTTTTTTTTTTTTAAATAATATTATTATTTATTTTAAATTTTAATTTTTAAAATTAATAATAAAAATAATAATAATAGTATAATAAAATTATTGTTGTATTGTATTTTTTTCATTTACATTCCTTTAAATCTATAAAGTTTATTAATATATATAAATAGTTTATTGTAATTAAGATATACAAACAACATTATATATAAATTGTAATATATTCTTTTTTTTATTTATTTATATATATATATATATAATATTATTTTAAAAACCAAATCTAAAATATTTAAAAGATTTTATTTATTTTCTTTTTTCTATTTTATTTCATTTTTATTTTATTTTTGGATTTATAAAAAATATTTATACTATCAGAAATAATTTTCATCTTTAATAAATAAAATAGTCAATTTATATACATGCACTTTTTATAAAATACAATATATTAATTAAAGTTTTTTTTTTTATTTTTTATTTATTTAAATAATAATAAACAATAATAATAGATATAAATAAACCATAAAATAATTTTATATTTTTTTTCAAAACTTTTTTTTTTATCGTTTTTTTATAATAATCTTATTTAATATCACAATAATTTTATAAAAATAAAAAATAACTTTTAAAAAAAACTTAAAAAAATTAGGAAAATAGAAAATATCAAGTAAAAATTTTTATCAAAGAATTTTTCTCGCATAAAAAAAAAAAATTAACATCAAATATATAATCTTAAATAAAAGTACAATAAATAATAAATAATATAATGACAAATTTTTCGAAATCAATTTTAGATAATGAAATTGATAATGAAAATTTAATCAATGATAATCATTTATCAAACCCAATTGATATAACCACCAATAATAAAGAAAAACCCAATGTAGATAATATAAATAATAATAATAATAATGATTTTAAACTTTATAGCACAAGCAACAATAACTTATCACCACCAACAATAACACCATTTAACAGTAAATTTTTTAAAGATATTGATCAAACAAGTAAAGATAATGAAAGTAACAGTATAATAGATAATATAAAAAAATCTTTCACACGTTTACATGATAACAACACCGATAATAATATAAATATAAATGAAGAAGACGAATTTGGAAACTTTAATGGTGCAAACGGAAGTAATCATCAAAGCAATATTAAACTACAAGAAATTAGATCCAGCTCACCAACTAAAATAAATATAAATAATAAATCAGTCGAACCACACGATGCATTCTTTTCAGAGATAAATGATCACCACTATAACGATAAGGGCTCATTATTGGCAAACTCATCATCCTCATTTGTTGAAAAGGTCACCTTAAAAGAAAGAATACGATACTTTTTTATTTTTTTAATTCACAACATTAAAACCAGTACCCCATTAACTTGGTTAAAACTATTTTTCGTAGCTTGTATTATAACTGGTGTATTTTTAGCAATTTTCAAATTTAAAGTTCAAAATCATCTCGACGTTTTACAAAAATTTGTTCAGAAATTTGGTGTACCTTTGGGTGGTTTAGTTTATGTTGGTGCCTTTATGTTATTAATTGTATTTTTAGTACCAGTAACAATTCCAACAATCGGTAAGTTTGAGATTTATTAATAAATCGATAATAATATTATAAATATTAATTTTATTTTATTTTATTAATTTTAGTTGGTGGTATGATTTTTAAATTATGGTTTGGTATTTTATTTGTCTGGGTAGCATCTATGCTTGGTGGTATTTTAGCATTTTCCTTGGTAGATATGTATT